CCCACCACTTTCTTGATGTCAAAGTTGGCAGTGTGCAAGTGGTTCAACAGAACTGCCAAGAGCGAGGCTACATCACACTTCTCAACAGTCAGCAGGGTGAGATATTCGGTAATGGCACGGCGATTGCGCAAGAAAGTGACGTACATAATCATATGCTTCCCGCGAATTCTGTCGGTGCTCTTGTTTGTGCTCAAGCCGAGGAAGGGCGCAGAGGCGATGTACTGCATCTGCGTCTGAGTCAAGTAGGTGCTGAGGCAAAGCACCATCTGCTGGAACCCGTATCTGTAAGACCTAACACATCAGTCATAAAAGACAAGTAACACGCGGGCGAAGAAATGAAATTATACATCACATACCTCGTGAGGTACACCCCGTAGGATTGCTTTGCGATGTCGCGGATGTCCTACTCAGCGAGATGCCTCTTCAGCTTCGGGAACATGCTAATGGGCGCGTCCTCCTGGCACAGGAACTGCACCGACCTCATCAGCCGCACCGCCCGCCGTCCCTCTACATCCGTGTTGATGAACCGGTCGATCTTTGTCTCGCCCCGCGAAATTGCCTCCGCAATCTCTACTTGTGACTGCATCGCCTCCTTGTATACCGACGTGTGCTCGTGGATACGCATCGTCTGCGTCTGCAAGTCTCGTCCACCGTCGCCAGGGCCAGAGTACTTCGTAGTCTCCTTGCCGTACAAGAGACACACGCTGCACTTCACACTAGGGCCACCATCTTTAGAGCGAAGCAAGAGAAGCCACAGAAACTTGGGCAACCACTAACTTTCGTACTTCAAACTTGTCTCGATGCACTTCTGCTCTATTACCTCGGCCTTTGACAGCACGGGCGACTTGGTGTACTGGCGTAGAGGGATGTCCTCAGGTTCGGGTTCGGGCTCCTCGACCGCCTCTGGTGGTGGCACGCGCACACCACCGAACGTCACCGTGCTCTGCTAGAACTTTCCTCAGACCATTGTTGTGCGCGGCTTCTTGCAAGAACGTCCCTCAGACGCGGGAGCGGCATCGTTACAGCCGCTGCTACCAATTGCTAAGGGAGGGGATTTACTGGACGACGCGATGCTGGGTGGGAGAGTGAGCAGCGCGCAAGCTCGTGAGCAGCAGCGCGCGCGCAAGCTCGCGAGCAGCAGCGATGAGCAGCAGCGCGCAAAAGCCAAAATAGGAAACAAAGGTGCTGTGCCATGTCACCAATCGCGTTCGTGCCATGATGATCGGTGCGCGTGGCTACCGATCATCATCAAAGTTTCCTTGCTGTACGCAGCGCGCCACATTGGGTTGCTTTGCTGTGTACAGCGCACCAAATTCTTTTGTCGCCATTACTTGGTTTCCTGCCCACGCGAACAAAAAGACAGCTACGTGGGGTGGGGAAATGATTACGCATGTGAAAAGGGAGGGGGGGGGGGGGGGGGGGGGGGATTTTCGGAAGCTTCGTCTTGATAAACTCGCATTCAGAGATCACATAATATATATTCTGTACAGACAGACTCCAGAAACGACTAAGTCTGAAGCCTGTTACACGGAATAAGGGCCCCAAAACAATAAGTTTGAGGCACTAAGTGATGAAAAATGGACTACTCTGGAAATACATTTTCCATCAAGTGCAAGGTCTGATTCGTCAGACTAATCAGACTAAATAGTCTGATAGCGTCAACCCTGCAATTGCCTCAAGAAGTGGTTCCATATGCAGTCTCCCATGCTCACGGTGGAACTCGAACTATCCTCGTCCACCATGGCGGAGGCTCAAGTAGCTCTTCTTTCTCGACAAAGATCATTGAGCACACCAAGTGAACGAGCTATGTGCCCGTTCGCCAAGCTATGATACCAACTCTTAGTATCACTTATGTGTCAAATGTTGTAGTCTTAGTGATGTGTGTCATAGGGGGTACAACTCTTAGGGTTAGGTTTATGTACCCCAACCAACCTTAGTCACAACAACACTTTCATTTCTGACATTATGCCTTACGAGAGCCTCGTTGGACGCTCACGAAACACTGATGGGGTGATTCAAGAGACGTTCACGGGGCGATCACGGTCACGGCGCCTTCATGGGACCTTGACGGGGCTCTGACGGGGCTATGACGGGCCCCTTACGAGGGTCCCATTGCTCACAGGCCCTTTACATGTGACTCGCAGGTCCTTCGCGAGGAAAACACGGTCACGTGTGTCGGACGAGGCCTTGATGGGGCTCTTCATGGGCCCTTCGCGAGATAGTGGGAGCTTGAGAATGGGTTTTCAGCTAAAATTGAACTCTGATCTTTAAGACCCCAAGGTTTGATTCTAAATGACAAACATGTTGTTTTATACTAACCCAAGTACTATGTAACCAAACGTTTCCCACAACTAATCTTCCTTACACATTGTAATGAATACACAATTCATTACTGAAGAACTGTCCTTAGCCCCGAGCAGTTCATGTCAGTGTGGCTCGGCCTACACTTTCGCACCGAACCAGTTCCGAGTCGCCCTGCAACAAGCGCGTCACTTCCGACCTACGCACGTCACGAGGTCCTCGCCTAGCTAGTTTTCGCCCTATATTTGCTCGCTTTCTTCATTGTTTCATCATTCTGTAATCACATTCTCTTTATAAAATTTTCCGCGCACTCTGTTTAGTACAACTCATAACACACCCCGTTTCACGTCGAGTCGCACATGCAACCAAATTATCTTAGGGCGGGTCCCGAAAGTATGTATTCAGTTTCGGAACCCAGTTTTACGTAAAACAATTCGTACAGCTGCGCGGTACAAACACGTTCCAGGTACGTACACATCACTACAAAAAATTCCAAAATCTAAAAAGTGGACAGAGACTTGCAGTTCTACAGTGCCGCGAATTGTAGTCCAAATCTCGGCCTGTTACCAGGTCCACAATGCCGCGAAACTCATTTCTCGCGAATTTGCGACAGCATGGCGAGTTCGCCCTGGGGAGATGCGACGAATCAGGAACTCTTCACTTCCTGTTGTATATGTTTGGGTTGTGAATGCTGAAGACCCCAGCGGAATTCGGTCGACGCAGCCGAATTGCCAGGGTCGACGAGGGGGGTCGACGGACGGGGGTCTGACGAGGCGGGGAACTGACGCGCGTGCGGGCCCGCCAGCCTGGCCCAGGGCTGGGCCGAGCGCACGACCGCCGCCCCGCAACCCCCCTCCCCCAATGTGAACAGCGACCCACGTTACCGGGTGGGGTCGGCGAACTGGCGACAGCTCGCGCGTGGGAAAATTACCCTCGCGCGAAGGCAGCCCAGCCGTGCCACCTGCCCGCGTGGTCCTAGTAACCCATCGCGGCCTGCCCGGACGGGCAGGCGAGGGCCTGGCGAAAATTCGGGGGCCCCTCGGGACACTCGACAATTTCGCGACCCGTTGCGGTGACGCCACATGTTCGCTCGTGGTTTCGCATCGGGCGCATGCCATATTTCGGACGTTGCGAAATCGATGTCGATCGCTTCGCGGCGCACGCTTTTCGCGACCCGCTGCGAAATCGACACGTGGCGGTCTAAACGATGCACCGCGAGCATGCGAATTTGCGTCCCTTGGCCGACCGAGGCCAGGGGACGTGACATCGACTTGCTGGCTCGGCGGCGAATGAGAACCTGTGCCACTTGTGCACGAGCCCACCATACCCTGCCGAGCCAGGCCCCACGAGGGTCGGGCGATGCCTCGGCCGGCCTGTGGGGCACCGACCCCCTTTTTCTTGGTGGAAGGGGGCATCGCTCCTCATTTTCGCTTTCTCCTCTCACTTTCCACCGTTTTTTCCCAGCTCTGCGCCTTCTCCCACATTCACGTCCCTTAGCCGGTAGCCGCTTCCCTTCCCCGCCATGGCGAAGTGACGCCGACTTCGCAGGACTTCCCGCTGTATCTCGACCTGGGTGGAGGGCTCACTTCCAAGTTCGACGAGCACGACTACGCCGTCCTCGTAGACAATAGGCTCGAGTTCAACGCCCGTTGCTTGGGATTCGGCCTCAAGTGAGTCGCCGTATATTTAGGTCGGCGTCGATCTATGCTGTCCTAGATGGTCGACGCTGCGTCGGTGTTATGGTTGTCCCACATCTATGGCGGCGCCACGAGGTTAGGGTTTAGTTCACCGTGACGCCGACTTTACGATTACTGATTACGTGTAACACCTATTTCACCGATGGGTCGGCGTTGTTCACAGGGTTTCACCCCCTCACGCCTTCTAATACCCATGTCGGCTTGCAGGCACGCATGGGCTCGCTCGACGAAGATGCGATTGTGGTCGATAGGACTCGGTCGGCTTCGGGCGGCGATGGGTCAGGAGGACCACTCGTGCTTTGCGACGGTTTTCGACGCCGACGTAGCGATCATCCCCCTGCATTCCAGGTGCGATGGTCGACGACGTACAGCTGTGCCATGCATGCTATGTCGTGCTGAACGACGCCGTCGTGCGTTGCCTGTGCAGCATCGCACCGCTTCCAGGAGCACAATGCAGTGTTATCGTCGTCATTTACCCCGGCGACTTGTTGCGGGCGGGGGGGGAGAAGATCAGGACGTCTATCCGCCACCTGGACCCGCAGACCGTGAAGCAGTGGCACCGCGACGAGGCAATCCGCGTGCTGAAATGAGCTCGATAGCCTAGTCGTCGACGCATGCCATTTCTCCGCGCAGCTTAAACCATGCTTACCGACCATCTTCGGCATTGATGTTTCAGGTTTTTCCGGGCGGCGGTACTGGCCGAGCTGGGCCGCGACGGTAGGACGTGGGAGTGGCCGAAGCCCTCCGATCAAGAGGTCGGGCACGGGCTAGCCGACTGTGACGAACCCCTTCGAGATGTGAGTTCCGAACGAGTCAACGTCCTATTGTGTGTCATCCAAGCTCGATGCTCATCCTTGCGCTCTGAACCGTTGAATGCAGAAAGTGCCCGACGTCGTCCAGGACGGGAGCCCGGGCTCCGGCACGCTAGCAATGAGCGGGTTGATCTGGGTGGTGAGGAGGATGGATCTCCTGACCGGCAAGTACCGTCGCAGTGCTACCATCATGGACAAGGTCAACGTTTCGGGGTTGAAGGCGCTGCGGGGTGCGATGGTAACATACATCAAGGAGCACGTCGCTCTGAAACGGTCGGGCCGTGTCGGACTTGCTCACGATGCCTGTGACGACGACGGCGAAGAGCCCCCTTCGGCATCCCAAGCAGTCGGTGTCGCCGACACCCGCGAAGAGGCCACAGGCGGCGTCGACGACGCAGATGGGGAGGCAGGGAAGGCGGTGCCGCGGACCGGGGATCAGGAAGAGGAAGAGGAGGAGGAGGAGGAGGAGGAGGACGAGGAGGCGTCCACCGATGATCGGGATGATAACCAGGAGGAGCGTGAGGAGCGTGAGCAAGGGCAGGAGGAGGACGAGGAGGAGGAGGAGGTGGAGGGGCGACGGAGGCCGTGCAGCAGGCGATGGAGCAGGTGGTGGAGGCGGAGAAGCAGCAAGAGGGGGACGCTGAGGTGGTGTTCCCCTGGGTCGACTTCGAGATGGCCGTGGAGGGAGCGGCGGCGATGGACGTGGAGGGAGCGGCGGCGATGGGCGTGGAGGGAGCGGCGGCGATGGCCGTGGAGGGAACTGGTAGGTGGTCGGCGGATGTTGTGTGCGAGGGAGTGGAGGGTGCCGATGTGGAGAGAGGAGACGTGGTCGGCAATGTGGACGGGGACGCGACAGAGGAGGATAACGCCGCGGCCCCGATGCAGACGGGCGTGGAGCCCACCGCAGGGAACGCCGGGGTGGAACGCCGAGGTGGAGCTGTAGAGGCGGGCAGCCAACCCGGTTCCCCAGCAGCCGGTCGGCAGGCACCGCCGGTCGACGTCGCGCTGCTGCGACAGGAGAACATGTGGTTGAGGGCTGAAAATGCTCGACTGCAGACGGAGCTCGGAGTGGAGAGGGGTCGGGTGGACAGGTTTGCGATGGGGATAGGCAGCCTCGTGGACAACCTCAGGTCGTTGGCCGACCAGGTCGCCGACTCCGACAACGACGCGGCGAGTCGGCTAAGGGGCGCGTCCTTGACCAAGGCGAAGGCCGTCACCGAGAACATCACCGCCAGCATGGGTGAAGCATGGGAGGCGATGAAGGCGTACGCCGAGAGGGCGGAGGCCTGGGTGGACGATCTCGACAATCCGGAGGGGTTTTTGGCAGTGGAACGTGCGAAGGCGGTACTCACGTTGGTCGACCAGGTGGAAAAGGTGGTGGGCGACGCGAGGAAGGGGTTGGAGGAACATATATCGAAGAACCTAGTCGCCACGCAGATCAACATCGCCACCGCGGTAACTCAACGCGTCGCCGTACCGCCGCCAACGCCGCCCGCCCCACCGCCAGCCTTCCCGGACGAGCTCATGAAGTCGTTCAAGGCGGACGTGTTGAAGGCGGTGACTGAGGCCACCCAGCAGTCGTTTGTTGCGTCCGGGTTAAACCTCATGACCGAGGTGATCGGCAATTTGGCGCCTGGTCGGCGTGGTTCGTCGCCGTCGGCCAACGAGGCCGACAAGAAGGGCGCGAAGAGGGCGGGCGGCGGAGATGATGCGTTGAGCTCGAAGCGGAGCAAGGGAGCCGATGGGAGCCGCGGCATCGGCCAGGTGGGTCCTGGCGGGGAGCGGAGCAAGGGAGCCGATGGGAGCCGCGGCGTCGGCCAGGTGGGTCCTGGCGGGGAGCGGGGGAGCAAGGGAGCCGATGGGAGCGGGGGTACGAGCGTGGTCGACCAGCTCAAGAAGAACGGGGCCAGGGTGATAAGGACGCACAGCAAGGGCGATGGAATCAGGAGTGCGGAGGGGGGCCCTGCCGACCAGGTTGCCGCTCAAGAGGCTGGACCAACAGCTTCGCCATTGGTGGCCGAGAAGCCCCCCAGTCTAGCAACCGCACCAACGGCGATAGATGGCGGCGCCGAAACCGTGAAGGGGCCGTCTGGGGGGGTGACGGGGACCACGTCGATTCCCCGCAAACCCCCTGCGGCTAGCAGCGCGCCTGTCGCCCCGTCAGCCGCCAAGGACGATGGGCCGTCCCTTGCGGCTACTCCAGCACCAGCAGGCCCGTCTGCCGCCAAGGATGATGCGGCTAACCGCCCTGGTCCGTCCGCCCCAAAGGCGAACGCGCTCATGGAAATGCTCCGCCGCATGGAGACCCATCGCCCGGGCGTGCAGCCGACTCCCGTGGTCGGTGCCGCTCCGTCCAAACCGGAACGTCGCTCGGTCGCTCCGCAGGTCGGCGCCACAACGTCCAGTGCCCCACCTACCGCGCCTAACATCGCCGGCCGTCCTCCTGTGGACCCCAAGTCCGCCCTGCTTCGCGCCCGGTTAGGCGCACGTACTGCGGCAGCGCCAGCACGGGCTCGGACAGAAGCCGGCTCAAGCGCGACGCCGACGTCGGTAACCGTAGCTGCACCCTCACTCGGTGCAGCTACTGTCGAGGCGGTGGCGGAGAAGGGCGTGAGTGCAGCGCTAGCCACGGGCGGTCGATCCGTCGACCTTGCACAGGCGGCGAAAGGCCAGCGCGACGCCGACATCGATGCCATCCAGGACCTGTTGGAAGCGGTAAATCGCCCCGGGCAGCCCCCTGTTCTGGCCATCTCGGACTCGGCGCATGTGGAGCACTCGGCGAGTCCCCCCGGTAGAACAGCGGAGCTAAAGACGACCACTGCAGCTGTGGTGGTCACCAAGTCGAAACAGAAGGGGACGGCCGACACTGGGAAAGGGAGGCCGAGCTCGCAGAGGACAACACGGGGGAAGTCGGTGGAGAAAGGGAAGGAGAAGGCGAAGGAGAAGGAGAAGGAGAAGGAGAAGGCGATGGAGAAGGCGAAGGAGACGGAGAAGGCGAAGGAGAAGGAGAAGGCGAAGGAGGAGGAGAAGGCGAAGGAGAAGGAGGAGGAGGAGGATGAGGAGGAGGAGGAAGAGGAGGTGGAGGAGGCGGCGGAGGAGGAGGGCGAGGATGATGCTAAGGAGGAGGAGAAGGTGAAGGTGAAGGAGAAGGGACGGAAGGGTCATGGCATCCGCCACGACAACTCGGGCGACAAGCAAGGGTGGGTGGGCGAGATTAAGGTGGCCGGGAACGAGAGTAGATACATCGGCAAGTCGCGCGACAAAATGGAGCTGGCGTACCTCCACTCGATTGTGTACCTCCTTTACGACGGTTACGTCAGCAAGGTTCTCATGGCCGAGCTCGCCGGCTTGACGGAAACCATGAAGAAGCAGTGGAGGGCGGTGTGGGAGGAGGTCAGGTTCTTGCCGACCGGGATGTGGACGGTGATATGGGCAAGGGGCGCTTTCCTCCCAAAGACCCGGTAAGTCGGATACCACTTCCGTCACGTGATGATGTCGACATCGGGGTCCCTAATGATCGTCCAGTTTCGTGTGTTCGCGTAACAGGTTCGATGACATTCTCGGCAAGTATCGAGCGTACAAGATATCAGGCGATGAGCACCACGCCGCGCTCTTGCCGGCGATCTGGTTCCCGGTCGATGCCGACTCGAAGGAAGGGAAGGCGAAGTCGGATGCAATGATGTCGGCCATGATTGATCGCGTGTCCTTGTGCGCTGCGTATGGGAAAGTCGCTGCTGCCGCGGCGAGGAAGGAGGGCGAAACGGATGAGACGACGGCGTTGGTGGCACAGGCGCTATCGGCCTTCGCTTGCGCCCTGTGGTGCTTAGTTGAGGGCGACGCCGCCCAGGTGGCCGATGCTGTGCGCGAAGGGAAGGCGGCGGCGATGGTGGTCGGTGCGAGCGGGAAGACCGGTGATGAGTTCATGAAGGTCATGACGGCGGTGCTGGAGGCCGCGAAGAGCAGGGAGCAACCCCTCGGGGAGGTTGCGTACAACGTCGCAACGGCGCTGGAGTCTACAGCTCTGGCGAGAGCCTATCCGGGGTTGGATGGAGAAGTCGAAGCCCAAGTGATCGCACGAGCGACGGTGGAAACCATGGCGTTCTGGGGAATGTGCCCCAAGGATGGGCCGAAACTCAAGAAGATCGGCATCGCGGTGCCGCTTGACGCGCAGATGGCGAAGCTTATCGAACACAGGGGGAGGAAGGGCCAGAGGGGCAAGCAGGGCAAGGACAGCTCGGGGAAGAAGGGCCAGAAGGGGAAGCAGGGCAAAGACAGCACGGCGGCTTAGTCGGCATTGCATTCTGGTCGCCTGGGGTGGCCTGGTATGGGCGGCGTCGATCATGGAGTTCTAGTTGTGATTGCTTTTCGTAGGTGATTGCGTGATGTGTGGCTGTAACTTTTTGGTAGTGCATGTTTTGTGGCTGTAAATTTTTGGTAGTGCATGTTTAGTGGCTGTAACTTTTTGGTAGTGCATGTTACTAGAACACCCCCACTAAGACACTGCGCTGAACCTCGTCGGCGTATGATACGTCGGCGTCGTATGGTGTCGACATTGTGCGTCTGTCTGTATGCATGTAGATACTCGGCGATATCCCCGTCGGCGCTTTGGGTATTGTGCCCCGTTTGTAGGTCGGCATCGATATCGTTTTGTGTGTTTCGGCTGTCGGACCCCTCCCTTAGATGCTCTTTGTGTGGGTTTCATTGTGTGCGTGCCTGTCGACTTTACGAAGGATGTGTAATGAACAGTTCAAACATTAGCCTGTTGACTATGCGTTGGATGTGATGTCTACTTCAAGTAGAACGATAGGATCATTGTGAGAACCACAAAGTCGACAACTGTATCAGTTCGAAACACATGCATGCTGCAACAAGAACATCTACAACATGCAACAGCCAACAGTCGCACGTTGCTTGTGAGCATTCACGCGGTCTTCTTGCGCTTGGTCGACTTCTTGGTCGGAGGCCGTTGGCCGGCGTCGTTTTCGCGGGCCAGGTCGGCCAACGCCTTCTTCATCTGCTCCTTCCATGTGTCCGGGAACAGGTCGGCGACCCACTTTTCCGGCTTCAACCCGCGCGCCACGAGCGCACAGGCGAGACGAAGCTTGGCAAATTCCGTCTTGCCGAGCCCCTTGACGCCCTTACCCTGCCCGGCATAGGTCGGTTTGTTGCCCGCGTTGAGCACCGTGAGGGCATCCGAGAAGGTCCCAATGCCAGGCGCCGCTATCGTGTTAAGCGCGTCGACGACGGCTTCCGTGTCGGCTTCGCCGTCGCTCCTGCGAAGCTGGCGCACGGCATCGATGACCTTCATCATGCGGCGCACCCTCGTCCCGTGTGCTCCCTGCGAGGCTCCGTCGAGGAGGGTGTGGCGGTCGACGAATCCCGGCTCGAAGAACCTGTCGCACAGACGACGGGTGTCGGCGCTGGTGCACGAGGTCCAGAGGCGCCACGCGTCCCTCACGGTCGTTGCATTCCGCCAAGGCTGAACCACGTTCAGCTCGTAGCTAGCCTCCTCGACCGTCTGTGGGGGTTTTTTGGGTTTCTTGGCTCCGTCACCCCTGCTTGCCGACTCCGCGGAGCCACCGTCGCTAGGCGACTGATCGTTCGCTGCTGGCGGCGCCTGCGGCATCCTACGAGCTTCTGAAACGCGGAGAGCCTCGGTGAGGCGGGTTATCTCGTCCGTCATCGACGCGATGGTAGCGTCGCGCTGCTCGAGCTTCTCCTCGAGGTCGATCTTCTCGACCGCTGACCGCTCCCTCTCGAGCTTCAGCGTCGTTGTGAGGGAGACGACCGCGTACTGGGCGTCATGGCGGACCGATATCTCCTGCAACGGTAGTCGAATAACGGTGCAGGTGAGGGGTTGTATCGGGCACTGTGCTCATGGCGACGTCGACATAAAGGAATACCCACCTCTGGCTGGATGAGGGTTGGGTCTTGCCGCTTTTTGATGGTCTCGGTGTCGGTCTTCTCCACCCTCTTCGCCCAGTGCTGGAAGAGGGGAATCCGGCAGAGCTTGGAATACTGGACGTACGGGTGCCAAGGCGTGCGGACGAGTTTCACAGCGAGGTCCTCGGCGACAATGCGGCGGAACATCAGGAGGGTGCGCCAGAAATGCACGGCCGCGATGTCGGCGTCGGACCCCTTCTTCGCGAGTTCTTCCGCCTGCAATTAGACAACAGACGTGGGTAATTACCGTGGTGGATAGGACAGTGCCATGAGAGGCTTGGTCGGCACCGATTAACATACATCCTTAAGGAGGTCGTCCACGCCGGGGAAGATGTGCTCGGCGATGAGTGCGAGGAGTTCGTCCCCCGGTTCCACCCTGCTGCGTCCCAAGAAGTAGTCCTGCGTGTATCCCGAGTAGCCGGCCTTCTTCATCACCACGCCGACGGGAATGGCTGTGATGTAGGCTCGAGTCATCTTGTCGAGAGCCCAGTGACCCAGCTCGGCTATCTCGGCGCGAGGCGTACCGTTGATGGCCAGCTCCTGCGCCCCGCCTGCCCGAGCGGCATGGACGTTCCGCTTGCAGAACACCCCGTTCGTCTTCCACATCTGCCTCGTCCATCGCTGGTGGCTGGCAGCGGAGAGTTCGCCCTGCTCGGGGTCGTTGCGGGCGAAGAACAGGTGCTTCTTGTACCAGCGCTCGCGTGTGCTGGTGTCGACCGGCGGAATGAGGTCGACGCCGTGAAACTGGCCGATCTGGTCGAGGATGAAGTGTAGCCACAGTCCGGTCTCGCCGACGGCGCACAATTCCGCTTCGAGGTGCCGCGCGGCGTAGCTCTGCTGCAGACGCGCATCCTTCGACGTCTTCGAGTTCCGCGCGGCGACCACCATGACGACCGGCTGGTTATCCGGGTTCACCGACGAGGTGCTCGCCAGTCGGTACAAGAAGATGTCGGGGAGCGTGATCTCGCGGATGCTTGCACCGCGCATGAGGCTGTGGTGGGAGAGCAGCGTGAGCACCTTGACGAGAAGAAACCTCCACAGCGTCTGCGAAGGAGTGGTGAAATGCGGGCTCCATGCCGACGCCGCCCAAGCCGGCAGCACCCTCGTCATGATCTGGCGGAACTGTTCGGCGGTGTATGTGTCGCCGATGGTGCCGCGTCGACGGTCGGCGCAATTACTGTCGACATAACAATTTAGGCGGTAGGATTATTAGGGCGATGGGAACAAATCGTCACCGACTAGAAAACGGCGCTAAATGCCAACTTACTTGATGTCCCTCTGGTTTTTGGTGCGGACCATGACCCGCACCTCCGACCGGACAACCGAGATTTCCCGCATGATGCCCAACTCCTTCTCCTTGTAGAGCGTCGCCTCCACCGTCGCCGCCATCTGGCAGGCCTTGAGGCGGCCGAGGATCATGTGCACCGTGTAGGACGGCACTGGCGCGTTCGTCTCGGCGTCGATCTTGAACTCCCGCCTCATGAACTTGACGTAGGCGCGCAGCCGCGTCACAGTGACCTTGGGGCCGTGCAGCCAGATGTGCTTCCGTTTGACGACGTTCGGGTTGTCCCAATCCTTGCTCTTGTTGCAGTGGATCCAGTGCCCGATCTCGTCGACGTGCCTAGTTCGTTCCCCGATCGGCAGCTTGTCGCCTATCTCTTTGAGCATCTTCGCGGCCCACCTCTTGTAGTGGTAGATCCATGAGATGTAGGACTGGAGCGTGCTCTTAGCCTCGATGGTTTTCAGGTGGCGCAATGCCTCCATCACGAGCACGTCGACGCACGCGTACACCATATCTTCCTCTACGAAGTCGGCCGCCTTCCACTGTTCTCGAGGGACCGACATGTGCAGCAGATCCTCTAGCTCGTCCTCGTCCAGAAGTTCCTCAATCAGCGCACGTTCCCCCCTGAGCTTTTCTTCCAACGTCTTAGGACCTGTGCCACGTCGGGGCCGCGGGTCGTCTTCGTCGTCCTCGTCGCTCGCCGAGGAATAGTCTTCCATTCCCTCATCCTGGTCGCCCGCTCCGTCCGGCACCGACGACGGCCCGGCCTCCGCTGCATTCGTCGGTGCCGACGTGTCTTTGCTTGGTTTCGTGAACTCCCCTATGGGCGCGGGCGGAATGTCTTTGGTGAACTCTCCCTACGGGATTTGGGCCAGTGCGTCGAGATCGTAAAGAAGGGGCAGCGTCGACGAGGGGTTACTGGTCGGTGCACGGTCTACTGGGCGGACATCCTCACCCTGGCTAGCGGGAGTCGGAACGTCCGTCACGTCGACGTCGGCGGGTGGTGGGTGTGATTGCGGCGGTGTCGATCGAGGATGTGCTCCGGCCATGATACGGCGACCTAGGGTCTGGCGATGGGAAGTCGGTGTGGTGAGGTCGATGAACTACAACATGCAGTCTCTAAGTCGGCGGTATCAGACAGGTCGGCACCGCAGACAACACTACGGGACGGCGGCCACGACGTCTTACTATTCTGACGACGCCGACGTTCCACGTCTGCCGAAGATCAGCCGAACAAAAAAACTAAGGGCGAGCCGTGAAGGGAACGGGGGAAACAATCTAAGTGCCAGCTAACGGATGAAACGCACACAGAATGGCAGGCAGAATGAGCGACCTTCACTGGGTCCCCAGATTGGTATGGTCGTGAGCGACTCCGCTCCACTTGGCGCTCCACGCAAACCCCTGTGCAGGACGCAGCTGTGCAGGTACTCTTGTGCGGCGGCGCCGTGACCGACGTGCCACCGGGCGTGCATGGCTGCTTGCTTGAAGCGCTTCGCTCATGATGCGCCTTTCATGGGTGTTACACGCTGGCTCTTTTGTGCGGTACGTGGCGTGGTCCCTGCGCGGTAGTTCGAGGGCGGGAGACACTGCCGCGTGGCACCACGATGAAGACCTTCTGGTCGACGCCGACATTCCCGCCAGTATCCACTGCACCTAGCCAGAGGTAGTGGACGGTCGGATTTCGCCTTGGGCATGTGGGCAACCGTTGGATGATGGCCGTGTGGTACGCACCGACCTGGCAACGCTTGGGCGCGAAGTTTTCCCACGCGAAGCACCCCCACCTTCCGTTGGCCCGTCGTGGCCACCCTGGCTGTCCACGATGGCCCCGCCATCCAGGGGTCGATCTCGGACGTCTCTTTTTTGGCCGCGTGGCGATCATCGCGGCCCGATGTGCCGAGCTGGGATGACGTCACGCGGCTGAGACGTCCTTCTTGGGATTGTCTCAGCGAAACCCAAGGTCGACAGGTCGTCGACAATCCCGAGGGGTCACCAGCACTGGGCCCAGCCAGCTCGCCTGGGCTTTCCACGCGGTGGTCGTCGTGGGGTCGACAACTTCGAGGAGG